TATAACAAATTTATAGACAATTGTTAGATTTATTGCTTTATCGAAAATAGCAATATCAAATAATTTAACTATTTATCATTCCTATGACGATATTCCTCTACGACTGTGCGGCGACGATAAGTTACGTTGTTCCTATCTATAGGAATACAATTACATTGCTTAATTTTGACGATTCATAGTCACCGAGTCAATTTAATATTACGCATCGCGGCTGTTATTGTCGGCGAGTTTTCATACCTACCGAGGTAATAATATGGTGGGTATTAAACGAGGAGACCCCGCCCAGGTCTAAAATGGGAAAAACGTGTATTGCCGGACGGATGCAGAAATAGTGGAGGATAGGATACAATGGAGGGAGGCAGCAGAAGATAGTCGGAGATAAACGGAGGAAATGTATTTGAAGGCTACTCAATAAATGTGATAGATCCACGTTACCTTTTTATTTTACATGCGGTATCGAGACTGAGGAATTGTACTGATCCCGATCGATCGGAAGATCACTTCGACCCCCCTCCCCCCGGCACAGTTGTTATTATAAAATCAACAAAACTCGCGAAAGCATAGTTAGTAGGTATTTATCGGTACATATAAAAATGAATACGTATAATAATTGTGTTTTCTTATTTTTTTTTTTTTTTTCATCGACCGCATTTGGGGGAGCGACTTTCTTCGCGAGCAGGCCCCATCCCGCCGTTCTAGATATCACGTCATAAAACATTATCCCCAACATTTGGGAACCCTCTTTACGAGATCCACTTTACCTGGCTAGCATTTAAAGGTCCGCCGGTACCAATTTACATTTCGGTTTGTTGAAAGCAAATGACTTTGTAGTATTCGCCAAGTCACAGATGTTTAGAGAAACTATTATCACAAAAACTTTCTTGTCACACTTAGGGTGTGGCTCATGCCACCTTCTCATATAAAATAAGCGCGTTAGTTAAATAATTCGTTCCGATTAATTGTTGGACTTCTTAAAATTTAGAAGTAATGTAAACCTGCTAAGTGTGTCATACGTTTTGAAGAAATGTTGAAGCGTTTTTCCAAACTAGAAATAGCTGTGTCAATTGTAAATTTAAAATAAATTTTTTCCTGGTTTATTTATGCCACACCTGTAAACTCCAAGAACCACTACTGTGACGTCTATAGACCACATGGTCAAATTAGGCACTGGCCCATCGGGAAATTTCCTGGCATCCCGGCGGCCGAGTCCGCCCCTACTACACATGACATAGATTAGATTTTATATCTGTTGATATGTATTTATAATAGGTAGGAATTACTAAGTGTAAAATAAATTATCTCGGAATATATCGATGATCGATAACACTGTACATAAATTAGGGGTTCTCAAACGATGTCTCAATAATATTGGTAGGAATAGATTTGGCGGAAACGAAAATCGAACCTTTTTCGTGGCCGCTTTCCGAGAAATGGTCGTAACACGTTTAGAATCCTCTTCCCTCTTCTCCCACCACCACGGCAACGTCTCAACTGAGTCCAGCTCATTGACGTCGGGTCATACGTTAAGGTTAGACATGAATTATTTTAAAAACTAAGCACAGGATTGTTTCATTTCGGGCCAAAATTCGGTTTGCCAATAACCGAATGGACGTTTCATTATGGAAATAAAAACCTATACGCCAACCATAAACTTGGACATCAAAATGGACTGTGTTTTAGTTATTGGGGGTCTCTTGATATGTATTTTGTCCGACTACGGTTTTTGGACTTCGGCAGTTCGGCGTCATTTCGGTCCAAATACGAATAACCCCGAAGCCCGCGTCGCGTCCGATGAACCGCAATTTTCGAAAACTCCAAAATGTTGCAATTTATATGCAATAGATACTTACGCATGTATGATATGGTGTACAATAATAAACACGCGCATCATCAGTGATTATTATAAGACACGTTCTGTCCTCGTTGTTAATTGATATTTGCATCTGCCCTAGCCTATATACCTAAAATAATTATAAATAATAAAATGCAAAATATTTAAACTTTAAAGGAATACTAAAATGTATTTATAAACAAACATAAATATTGGGTATCTGAAAAATGATAATTAAAAAAACTAAAAGAAAATTAGCAATTGATAATATGGGACACAAAACACCGAATACAAAATGTCATAACGAATTGTCATTCTGTTAGATTTTAATTCGCCCCATACATTTATTATGCGGTGCATATTGTATTGTTCAAATTTACCCAGATTCTATCATTTATTTCGGGACAAATGTGAAAACGCATATAATAATCATTCATAGGGAAAACGTTAATTTAAAATCGATAACTGGTTATAATGTATGATAATCACATCATTTATTTTTAACGAATGTTCGACTAAAGTAAAACGTAACAATTTATTATTTAACCATTCCGCCACCTTTCAATTACCTTCGCCCCACGGCCGTGAACAGATAATAACTAAATCAATATGCCTGAAATACACGAATATTATTTTAACGCGATAAATACGTACCTAGTGTAGCGATCGATTTCCACTGAACGTTTTTGGACAACGGTGAACAAATAAATGAACGTAATCTTCAGAACGATTGACGAATCGACCATTTTAATTTTTAATCACATTCCGTGTTTACGGCGGAGAACGGCCGTCAAGGGAAAATACAAACGACAAGGGGAAATCCAAACGTATTTTTATATACCCATTGATAAACAATAGCGACCCGATAAATAAGAGTGATAAAAAAAAAAAAAAAAAAACAACAATTTGAAAAAGGTTATTGAATCAACACGCGTTTAAAGTATAGTTAGGAACGATTTAGCACCTATTCGTGAACGAATTGAACGCCGTTCACTAATGAATCGAGTGAACCATTTGAATCATACAAAGGACATCGTAGACCAATAGGACAAGTGATCAAAATAGACGTATGATACTCTGTGAATCTTATTAACGAGGCATTGCCGGACCAGTTCGTCAAAATGAACGGCTAGTTCCATCATTAGTTTCCAGGCCCGCGTCGTGGATATGGAATATTTATACATATTTGTTTTATTAGCATATTTTTAACATAATTTACAGCGCGCAATTTTTCAACGGCGCAAAAATAATTTTCAACAGCCCCTTAGATTCAAAGCGCAGAGGGGGAATCTCTTGGTTTTACTATGACGAGCGATTTTTTTTTTTGCTGTCTGTAAACCACTTTTCGAAAAGAGATCTTGTTCCGATTTACAGAGTACAGTACACCTTCTAAAAGGAATTTTTGTCTAGTTGGTGCACGAGGAAAGTGATTGTTTGTTTTTCCAAGGGTTTTCGAAATAATCGGGATAAAATCGAAAGAAAATTATAGGTAAAACGCAAAATATTTACGGCGTTAATTGTTTTTAATTTGTTTACATGATGTTTTCTAACAAAAATATTGCTCAAATAAAAAATTACAAGGGATCAATTTTGTCCCTTTTAATATTTAGCCACAGACAGAGAAAGCCGTTTCTTAATATCTAAAGTATTTTTCATAATTAGGATAAACCAAAACATAGAATTTTTTTTAAAATTACGGCATTACAATTTCATTATTTTAGATGTTCACGCTTTCGGTTTTATACCAGAAATATTGGTCCAATCGAAAAACAAAATTAAATGTTTTTTGTTAAATTTTTAATCTAGTTGGTAGCAAAGGAAATCGTTTTTTTATTATTTAGTTTTTTTTTTTTTTTTTTGTAGTTTTTTTAATAATTGAGCAAAACCGGTAAAATACATAGAAAGTACGGGAAAATTTACGAACATTTTAAATTTGGTTTTTTAATGTGATTCAGTTTGAAATATTCGTAAAAACTTGAAACATTGACAGAAAACTCATGTTTACATTTTCTGGACACGGTAAAATTTCCATAACAATTCAGACATTTTTGAGCTATTTATAGACATTTTAACTTTGCGAGTTTTTTACGCGATTATTTTGGTAGGTACTCTGTTAGACTTGACAGAAATGCTTGAAAATATGACAGGGGAACATTATAAGTAGTACTTAACGTTAGAAAAAAAATTAATTGAGTGTAGTGTGGAGTTCTTCTAATCGTTTTTCGTCGGCAACGGTCCATCGTTGGTTAAAGGTGTGATAAATAACTTTGTGTACCCCGCCATCTTAACTATCCACCTACAGCAGCGATCGCACCCGTCACCAGTATCAGCTCTTTTAGATTCGGAGCGTAGCGCCGTGCCGTTCGGTTTTTAGATTCCGAGTGGAGCGAGGAACGTATTGGTTTTACAATATTGTTATTTTTTATTCAAAACTTTTCCACTAGCACTTTCGCTCCGATTTACAACGATAGTACTTTTTGTGAAAGAAAATCGGACCGGGGAGGTAGGTACTCTAGGGAGGTCACTGATTGATTTTCCCCAATAAATTGGAAAAAAAAACGGGAAAACAGATACAATACTAAACGAATATTGTTAACGAAAATGTTTAACGCATAGGCATGCAATGATTTCACCGTGGTACGACTTGTATAATATCGTTGGCGACCGAACTCCGCTCAGGAATCGCTTGTCCGTCAGATTAGGTTAGGCTCGTTGCGTGGGCAGGTACGTTATCGAATTCCCGTCCACATACAACGTTCCCAACTTCTTCCCGCCCGGGCGCCTGCAGCGGCGGCCGCGCCCGTCCCCATCGTCCCGGGACAGCTTTTTTACGCGCGCGGTTCGTGCGATTCGTTACCGTCCGACGGCGCGACGAGACCGCGCTGGATCGGCTGTTCCGTGTTGCCGTGGTAGGGGTACCGGTATCGCGTGTTGCAACGACGAAAATTATTATTATATCGGGAAATGTTGTTGTTACCGTTATTGCGACGCGATAATCCGCGATCGTCCGGTGGCGCGAGGGGGGGGGGGGGGGGGGCGGCGGGNGGGGGGGGGGTGGTGGGGCGGCGGGTCGGGGAGGTCGGTGGCGGCGTTCGCGGTCGGACCGGTAGGGACGGCGAATCGGCGGCGGGGCGGGCGTGTCGCGTGGCGGCGGCGAGCTCTCGGCGATCGGACGGCGGCGATTCGGCGACCGACGGGTTTCAGTCGACGTTCCGGACCGCAACGGGAAACCAGCGAGTTGATACGATCAACGGCTAAATAATACCAAATCGAATAAAAATCATTTGACTCGTTGTCGAGAGCCATTCGCCCACAATGGTTCAGGTAAATGTTCGCCGTCCCGCTGCGCTGCGACTACAGTGATATAGGCCGTTTTTATTGGGCATCCGAATCGCTCGCGTGACGGGGTACACCGATTTTTTTCGGTAAATAAAATTTGATAGAAAAAAAAAAAAAAATAGAAAATCGAGCGGCGTCGCGGTTGATCGACGGTCCCCTTTACACGATAAAAACGCCGAACGCGTAGAAACCGCGTCGATACAAGTGAGTGAAACGATTTCGTTTGATTATATGATTTTATTACCAATTGAATTATTATTAATTTTGTTTTTATATTTTTTTTAATTATTATTTTTATTTTTTTAAATTTAACTATTGCTATTCTCGTTTGTTTTTTTTTTTTTAAATTTAATTATTATTTATTTTTTTATTTATTGTTTTTTTTTTTTTTTTTTTTGTGTTTTCAATTTCTGCGCTCGTCCCGCACTCGTAAAACAATGACGCCCGACGCGGACGCGGGACGAGAAAACATTTGCACGTCGTTTCGTCCGATCGGTATTATAAATAGCCGTGGTACACCTCCTATAATATAAGCATTGTTTACGGCCATCGGCTATTTCAGTACCCGGGGGAATTAATTCGTTAATTTTAGACGGTTTCCCGCAGCGAAAATCACAATCTCGCAATTTCACGATCCGCCGACGTCTCCGATATCCGCGCGTCACGGCGGAGCCGCGCGCCCCGGGTTTCCCCCCCCCGTAAAACGTTACCATTTCAATCGTACGGCCGCCCGAAACGCGCGAAATTTAAAAACCGAGAAAAAATCAAAATTACCACGCGAATCTGTACGAATACGTACGCCTGCTTAACCGGTACGGCGCGCTCGCGATATAAATTCTCGACCTTTCGTCGTCTCTGGCGCCGTTCCGAGTTTATTTTCGGCCCGTCCGTCCTGAAGGGCGAATCATAACCGCGCGCAACAACGTCCGTCTCACCCGCTTGTCCCTCCCCCCTCCCCCTCCGCGTGTGCCTGCCGCTGCCCCGGGAGGTGCGGTTTTTCCGGCGAGAACGCTGAACGCCTACGGGTCGCGGTCGGCTATAACTGACCTTTTAAAGGGCGGGAGGCAGGGGACGGGGGGGGGGGCATGGCGCGACGAAAATGGCGAACAAAAACAGAAAAAATCGCACGCCGATAACGTAGCCGGGAAAGCCCGTAACTTTGCCGGCCAATATTTCTTCGCGGTCCAATTCGCAATCATCACACCGTAGTACGATGATTAACACTCGTTCGATTGTTTGTTATGAGAAAAAATACCGGGCCGAGTGGGGCGATTGGCGGCCAGTGCGGTGAGCTCGGGGGCGCGCGAGAGGGGGTGGAGAGGGGGCGGCGCGCGGAACTCCGCCGAACAAAAGAAATAGGCACCCATTTTGGCGCGCGCGACATTCCCACGTGTCTGGCACGCTCGTTCGGCCGTGACGGCGTATTCGAGACGAATCGAAATTGTTAAAATTACGAGAAAAAAAAACAATAACTCTTCGACCTCGCCTCGCGACGATAGCGCGTAGTTATGTGTGATAAGCGCGATAAGCGTGACGAGTTCGGTGTTATCAGTTGCCGCGCGCTCCGGTACACTCCGGTATAACGTACACCGCCGTAATTACAATAACATTGTTACCGGCGGCGGCGACGACGACGACGACGACGACGACGACGTGTCGTCCGCGTCCAGCGGTAGTGGGTGTTCAACACTGTAACCTACGACCGCCCCCCCCCCAGGCAACAGCCTACAGAAATTGTTCTAAATTGTCGAGGTCCGTTTTCAACAGGTCGACCGGGTTATTGTCGGCTGTTAGTGGTAACCCGCGGTAACGGCGGTAACTGGTGTCTGCCTCCGGTAGAGATTAGCGAAAAATGAACGAGTCCGCCGCCCGCACGACGCGCGTCAGGTACACGGCGATGGGTTCCGGATACGACGGCCCTCCTCCTCCTCCTCACGTCGACGTGTCGTGGTGGTGAAGCGCATCGGACACACCGGCCGTCGAAAATCTCGCGTGGTGCCGACTATATTTGCCCGTATAGAAACACAGAGAAATCGAAAGCTATATCGTAAACTTACCACGATTTCGAAAACGACAGTGTTTTTTTTTTTTTTTTGTTTCAATTTTTTTTTGTTTTTTTTTTTTGTACAGCTTGTCTAGGAACCCGTCATCTTCATTCGGTAACCATATAATATTATAATGTAATATATTTACATATGTATTTTTTTTATTTTTAATATTTTTTTTCTATTGATTTGTAATCGGTTATAATATAATGCATGCGGTTTTTTTCTAAGCTGTTGCTGCATTAACAATGATGCGCTGTGGTTTTCGTCGCATGTCGATTTCCGGACGCTTTTCGGACGCCAATGTCTTCCCCCCACCACCCCTCCTCTGCATTTTCGGGTTTCCGGGAATGATTCTCGTCTCGTTTAAAACACGGTGGCTTAGACAAATACATTTCGTGGGCGGAACTCTGTGCTTGCCGAAAACCGAGAGAGCGTTTCCCCCCCGAGTGTCCCGGTAAATCCCGACTATACTCTCATGAAAACCTGCCGCGTACGGACGGAGGATAATTTAGGATTTGAAACAGACTCTGCGCCCCAACGTTTTACCGCCGATGAAAACGACGAGAAAAAAAAACTAAAACAACGAAACGAAATTACGTTGTTGTCGTTGGAGTTTTTCTACATTTCTATAATAGTTCTGAGCAATACTTTAACGAATCCGGATTACAATTGCGATACGCGGCGTTCAGCGCTGTGCGACGTTACGTCTTCTAAATCGATCGGTCCCCGGCGGTTGTTATGCGCATTGAAAATTCAAGATTCCGCGATCTCGGCGCAATACGATATCGACAGCAATAATATTGGAACGTTCGAATTGCCGATAACGCGCGTTATCGTTAGGTTTTCTATGTTTTTTTTTTTTTTCCTTGTTCGCGGTTTCAGTACACCGTCTGTAAAACGGTGCCGCGTCGGAATGCACAGCTGCCGCAGATAAACCGCGTTGAATAATCACAAGTCGGCTGTGTTAGGTCATGATTCTTTTTGTCTTACGCCGGGCGCATGTATGCACATTTTTTTTTTTGTTCTGTCTTCTATTATTACTCTATTTTTTTTTTATTATTATTATTATTTTCATTATCTGGGCACCCTTTAACCCAAAATAGCGAACCGCTCACGGCCAGCCGCTATTAATAGAATCGACAATAATAATACCCATGCTAATAAACGATAAGTAATAATTAAAATATTATGTTCCGAACGCTTATTACCGCTTATCATAAACCGTAAATAATAAAATTGTAATAATAATAATACCGCATCGGCACGAGAACTGTTGATAGGACGCGTTATCTTAACCGGCCGGGGTAATAGGTATTATAATATCGACGCGAAATATTACAATATTTTGTGATAAACCGAGCAACGCGATGGTATTAAAATATTATTTCGCGATTTTCGGACGGACGTGTGGAGGGTATCGAGGGGGAAAAAAACAAAAATTGACACTATCATATCAATTATCGATGTGAAATCCAATATTTGTTCGGTGAAAACTGTTATCGCGCGCTACGTTGTTGACGTGGCGAAACAAACAGCGAACGTTGTACCGCATAAAAGAGAGTTTTCGTTTTTGTTTGTTCACCGTTGTTTTTTCGTTTAAAATTTCCAGGCGGCGACGTCCACGGACGGAGCAGCCGCCGTGCCGTGCGCGCGCGCAGCTTTCCGCGCAAATATTCGTCTCGTTTGTACCACGGTCGGTAGATAAAACATAATCGGCTCGGCTACTCGCTGTTACACGAGTCTAGAGTTCACCGTTCCGATTAAACACCGCGACGGGGTTATCGTCGTCCGCGTCGATTTTACCGTTTGCGGCGGAAAACGCCGTTGTGACGAATAAAAAAAAAAAAACCCCCGACGATCAGGCGCGATAAATCCGCGTTGCGAGTACGCGTATTCGTTTGGCCGTCGCTTACGGTTCGCACGGATATCGGCGAAAAAACATATAAAAAATCGCCGAGTAAAACGCCAACGCATTCGCGTTTATGCGGCGCGCGGATTGTCGCTGTGCAATCCGCTTTTACGAGCGCGAAACGGGGAGGACGGTTCTATCTAACCTAACCTAACGCGCGACCGAACGCGTTTCGAAAGCGCCCCGGCCGAATCGCGGGTGGGCGGGGCGGTAGCGGGGCGGGGCGGTTTCGACCGAGTTCGGAAAAACCGTCCGAAATTTTTTTTTGAAAAATTGTCAATTTCTAATCGTTGCGCGTCAAGCTTTTCCCCGTCACTGAATCGGTTGAAACGTTACGATATTAAATTGCTGATATTTTTTCTGCCCGTCCGTAAGCCCGCCCGGACGGCGGACATAACCTCTCCCCCGCTGATATTTTTATCGCTTTTGGATAATGTTCGGTAAAATCGGTATCTCGGCTATTTGGTATCCGTATGACAGAACCGATGAAAATATTACTTATTGCTGTTTGCAATATATGTTTTCACAGATTTGAAATAGGGGGAAAAAAAACAATTTAAAAAAACCGTACCGTTGCTATCATTGTGACTGTTGAGCGGAATATAACGGCGCACTAGTAACGACGGGAGAAAAAAATATTACCCCCGCCCGAAAAAAAAAAAAAAAAAAACAAAACAAATTTCCCCGTATAAAGAACCGACTCCGTCACCCCCCCGTTTCGCAAGCTCTTGGGTCTTTTTGTAACGGAGCTTTTTATACGCTATTGTCGTGGCTTTTTTTTTTTTTTTTTCGACCCGTAACATAACAGTACGTTCGCGTCTTACATACGCTTTGTACGCTGTAAGTTTGTTTTTTTTGTTTTGTTTTCAAACCGCAGTCCGGCGCTTTTTTACACCTATATTTGTCATTGCATATTATCGATAACACCGGGGCTACCTATATTAATATTGTTGTTTCGAACGAAATCGCCCAAGTGTTATTAAATTAATTAATTTTTTTTTTTTCGATTTTTTTGTTCACTACAAATACTCGGCAATAACGGTGTATAACACACTGATTACTGTACCTACGTACCCGCAACATATACACATGTGTACACTCGAATGAAAACATATTTCAGCACGTCTACGTGTCTCTTGTTCAGCGGAGGGCTCGCCCGGGACGAATACGGTACGGTTATTTGTCAATCGCGTTTGTTTCTCGGTAACCGCGATAATTACTGTCGTCCGCCGTTTTCCGTTTTGCCGCAATATCGCGTACGCCATACAGGCGGTAACCGTATCGGTCCGGCGGGCTTTCTCTCCGAACAAGCACGTTCACAGCGTGGAATTCTTTATGATTGTTATTATTATTATTATTATTTTTTTTTACCCGTGACCCATAAAAAAAAAAAAAAAAAAACAATTATGACGACAAAACGTTAATCGAATGTATGGTTGCGGCCGTTGTTTTTTGTTCACGCAGGCGGTAAACGAGTAACTCCCGCGTCCGAAACTCCGTCAACGTCATCAGCATCCGTGCGCCAGCGCCGCAAGACAACTCCGTCAGCATGTCGTCCGAATGTTGCGACGTCATCGTGGCGCACAGCCCGCCGATATTCACGGGCCACCGCAGTTCGCAGCCCAACCTGCAGACGTGCCTCTTGAACAACATGCGGTTGGTCATAACGCAGAAACCGTCGCCGGTGCCGGCCCGCCGGTTCGTCAGCAGCAACTCGCGCGGATCGTCCGGATCGCAGGCCAAGTCCGCCGACAACAAACTCCTGCAGGCCGACCAACCGGGTCCGGGTTCGGTGCAGACGTCCAAGCCCCGAAGACCGTGTCTGGTCAGAAGGGCCGACTCGGATGGCAGTTTCGGGTCGTCGTCGTCGTCGTCGTCGTCGTCGTCCTGTTCGTCGTCTGACGAGAACGAACCGCCGAGCCCGACCAGGAGGAAAAAGAAAGTCGTTTTCGCCGACGACCGAGGCTTGTCACTCACCCAAGTGAGTGCTCATTTTTACACTGTTATACGTGATACGCGTAGAATAAAACGCGGGCTACCCAAACACAGTGCGCCCCCGCGATTCGTCGCAAAACAACATTAATGCGATCGAGTTGTTCAATCGTCGTCCCGTTTAACACGATATTATTATACCGTACCGTCCAAAAACTGATTTCAAAAACGTTAATCTAAACAAAACCAATTATTATTATTTCGCAAATCAATAATTTCGAATTTTTTTTATTTTTTTCTTACCACGACTCGAAAACTAACGGGCGAGGGGAGGGGGCGTCACCAGAAATATCTTTAGGAAAAAAAAAAAACCTAACCCGTCCGCTTTCTTGTTCGGCGCAGGTACGATTGATGAATGAACCGTCGAACCAGCCGCCGAAACTGTTGACCGTCCAACAGTATCTGAACCAACAGTCCGCGGCACCCGCGATGGGCGCCGGTGTTGCGCTTAACAAACATATGGCCGATCAGCTGTGGCATCTCCGGTTCTCGCAACCGGCTTCAAACTACTTGGACTTCCGGAACCGTCTGGACACGAACAATATATCGCTGGAGAACGTGATCGTCAAGTGGCCGGACCACCGGGTCGTCGGCACCGTCAAGGTGCGCAACCTGTCGTACGACAAGGAGGTGTTCGTGCGCTACACGGAGGACAGGTGGGTCACGCACCGGGACGCGCTGTGCACGTACGTCCAGCAGAACATTACCGCGATGAACGCGAACGGTTCGTGTTCGGTGGCCCCGGCGCCGGTGCAGAACATCTACGACACGTTCTCGTTCTGTCTGCAGTTGCCCACCAGCGCCACGGCCATGGAATTCGCGGTGTGCTACAAGAACGTCGAGTTCGAGTGTTGGGACAACAACGACAACAAAAATTATTGCGTGTCGGTGTCCGGCCACGGCGTACCGACCGGTCCGCTGCTGCAGCAACTGCAAGAACAAAACTCGCCGTCCGCGGCCGCCGACGCCAACAGCGCGGTCATCGAGTACGATCACCAGCACCGTCGCAATAGCCGGCAGCACCACCAGCATCAACAAAAGTCGCCCGTTCACTTTTTCGGCGCCCAGTCTAAACAAAACTCGTGGAACACGTGGCGCGATCAAAAGATCGACACGTCCGCGTACTGGTAATCGCGGGTTCGCGCGTTTGGCGCCTACCGATCGGAGTCGCTGGATAAAATGTAAGTATTTGTACTTGTACCTTTACTTGTCTGTTATTGAAAAACACGTTTAAAAGCTCCGTAAAACCGACTCGAAACTCGCTTGAAATTCCAAAAAAAAAAAAAAAACCGCGTTGAAACGTTTCGTGTTTATTTCAATACGCGGTAAAATGTGATATATGCAATGAATTGATTTTCAGTCGTTTAGTCAATTTTCCATAAAGTAAGTTTGAGTCGGGTACACAAAAACCATACTTATATATTGATTTATTCCGAGGGATTCAAAATTAAAAGTATACATTCGTTTGAAACGAGTATAGCAAAATTTGTGCGAGTAGAAAAATCGATCTAGAAAAAAAGTCTTGGAACTTTCACCGATTCTCACCGAAAAGTTACGATTTTCGACTTAACGCCTGACCCGAGACTTGATCATTTAGATAACACGTAGATTAAACAATTCGTATTTAGACGAATGTTATTGGCGCGAAAATATAATATCGTTTAAAAGGTCGCGGATTAGCGTTTCCCGAGGTCGTTCGAACTTATAAAATATAACCCGATAACCTTCCCGCCGTGCCCGGATCGTTTCTCACGGTCGCCGGCCCACGGCGGATTTTAAAAGTCCTTTAAATAATAATAATAATAATAATAATAATAAAAAAAAAACGATGTTGCGAAACCCGGTAGATTTTTACGTGTCCCGAGCCAAGTCGACGGCGGAATGTGAACTTCCGGTACCCACACGCTCGGACACGCGGTTTCTCGCGCCAAAAAAAAAAAAAAAAATCCCGCGTAAAAACGCGTGATTTTCGTGTTCAACGACAATCGGGAACGGTAAATTAAAAATAAATCGCAGATAGTTTTTCGGTTGTATTTAGACCGGGCGTCTGGTAGTCCGTCCGAACAGACGCGTTTAGTCGTTGGGTTTATTATTTTTTTTTTTTTTTTTTTTTTTTTTTTTTTAATAATTCCTCAGAGAATTGCCATTAAACCGCGCGCACGATTCGAATATTTCATTATAATTAATAATTAGTAATTAAAGTCGCGCGATTAAACCGGTCTGTCACAGACTATTACTGTAAATTAACTCCGTGTAGAAATTACACAGTCTCGTCCGACGGTTCGACTGTTCCAACGGTAATAAATTACTATAGAAAATAATCGAAGACCTTGGGACGCATCAAACCATTTTTTCTTTCGAAAACGCATTTTTTCGACGGAGTAATTTAAACGTGGCGATCGAATCGACCCGATACAACCCAAAGTATTCACGGGTGAATCTGCAGGATTTGACGATTTCCCAGGGAATTGAGTACGTACAGTTTTCAACGGGAATCGATGTAATAATCCGATGCGAATGTACCGGACATTATAATCCCCGGCACATTTTAATGCAACAATTGGATAAATTCGAAAAAAATAAACCTTTTTTTTTTTTTTTTTTTATTATTGCTTCTGGAAAATTAAAAAATATCGAAATTATCTGGTCGCAACCATCCGGTTCTTTAATTGTTATAATGTTTAACTCGGTCGTATTTCATTGAAATTATCAAATTCGACCGTCGTGTGCTGCAGGTTCACGAACGAGCTTTTACTGTTCCGACTCTAACCGAAACCCTTAGATTAACCGCGGTCGGCCGAACGGGATTTTTTTTTCACCATTCGCTAAGTCGACGTGGAACAAATCTAACAAAAAAAAAAAAAAAAAAAAAAAAAATAAAAAAAATATCCGTTATTTCGGCGTAACAATCGCGGGTTTATTTGGTTTTAAACGGTGTTTTTTTCGTCTTCTCAAAATCAATCTATCAAAAAAAAAAGTACCCCCTGCGATCCCTATACAAGGTCAAGTAATCTAACGGCGGTCCTCTAAAAAAAAAAAAATCAGGACCCGTTTGGACCGGTTTTTCTGAAACACAACCCGTTTGGACCAATTTTGAGGGTTAGTTCGGGCTAGAAAATACTGCCGTTATGATGCCGCCCGTCTGGACCAGAATTCTCGTTATTTCCCTTATTAGTTCAACCGAACAATGTTACACGTATATCGGTTAACCTGCACAGCGTCCGATTATATCGGCTCTCTCTGCTGCTCGCGGCGGCCAACACTTCCCGAGAAACACTCCTGTTGCTCCGCCTGTCGTACCCATACGACGTTTTGCGATAGTTCGCAACAGTTTTTCATTGTTTGTTTTTTTTTTTTTTTTTTTTTTTTTTTTGCGTTTTGTTTTTACAGTTCGCGGGAAATTGTATTTTCTCGTCGAGGAACATATTTAAAAATATCGCATCCATGAACGACGCCCACAAGTCAACATAACGAAAAACAATACATGCGAGTTGGGATAATCGTTGTACACAAATCGTTTTACATTCAATAATTAGTCTACGTGCATGACCGCGTGCTGTGTATGCCGGGCATTGTAAAATTTTATTTATTTATTTTTTTTTTTTTTTCGTCCAAAAACATTGTTAATTATTATTATTATATTTACGCTACACGCTACAACAAGAATAAATCATTATAAACGCTATAAACGAATATTAATTGTATACGTATACTTTTTTTTTTGTTTTTAATGCAATTCGTTTTTTTTTTTTTAATTTTTATATTTAAGTATTTATTATTATTATGTTTTCCCCTTAGAAATTAACCGGCACTTAAAAAAAAAAAGAAGATTTTATTCATTGTCACGTTTTGTTTTTTTTTTTTTTTTTTTTTTTTTAAAAAAAAAA